AAGTTACATATTCAAAAACTTAAGGAAACCTTTACTACATTTGTTTTCTGCACTTAGGTGAATCTGTCAATAAAGAGTGAATTACTAGCATCTAATAGTGACACTGCAGGAGGAGCGCGATAGCGCTCCCGGCACTCTAGGGGTTAAGGCCAGGTGTAATTCCCTGGCCAGGAAAATGCCATCATTTGGCCAAAGTTTAAAAATCGGTATGTGGTGACGCTGGAATGTCCTCTTACCCTCTTTACTATGAAGGTCTCCGGAATGTCAGGAAACCTTAGGAATCCACCGTGTTCCTCATGTCCTCTCAATCCCTCAAATGAGCCCATTGTATATTTTCCTCCTTTGGCCTCATGACAAAAATCTGAAAGCAGTGCACTTGGGGTAAGACTCTTAAGGAAGTAGTGCAGTGGTTCTCAACCTTCCTAATGCCGTGACCCTTTAATACAGTTCCTCATGTTGTGGTGACCCCCAACCATAAGATTATTTTCGTTGCTACTTCATAACTGTAATTTTGCTACTGTAAACAATATGTAATTATATATGTGTTTTCCAATGGTCTTAGGCAACCCCTGTGAAAGGGCCATTCGACCCCCAAAGGGGTCGAGACCCACAGGTTGAGAACCGCTGAAGTAGTGGATTCAAGGCTTTCTCACCTATGAGCTTTGTTCTACAACCACAATCAGAAACTCATAGAAAAGACTCCTAGTGTGAGAAAGACCCCTTTCTATCTTATTCTAACAAGTGTTGGCCCACTTGCACTAAACAGAAGACCCAACACTTTGTCAAGGGTGTCCAGGGAGGCTTGTTCAGCAAAACTCAAGGAAAAGGGAAGAAAAAAAACCTTCTCTTTCCACTCCATCTGGAGTTTCAAGGGACTCCAACAATATTGGCCCATAGTGATTATAAAAATCTCCCATTTATGCTGTTCTAAAACAAGGGCAAAGCCTCACACAACTCAAAACACTTCTTTTAAATGTTCATAGGAAAATTATCTTTCTCTCCAAGTCCTTTAGCTGGCTGAAATTAATGAAACACAGTCGGGAGGCACCTATGCTGGCCACTGGCCACCATTCATTTGGAACACCCCACCTAGGCCATTCATAGATTGCAGAACTGTTTTCTCTTGACTTCAAAATTTCTCCTTTCTCCTTATATGCTGGAAGCCGACCCACCCTTGCTGCTTGACGCAGTCGCTGCAGGGATGTTTCAAGGGACCTGGCGTATATGGCATACTGTTCTTAATATGTTTGCTCCCACTCTTAACGCTATGTGTTTTAAACAGGACCACCTCTCTGAGAAAGGTTGTTTCCCCAGGTGAGGATTTTTATCAGTAAAACCCCTTAACTAAGTGCCAGGCGGGTAGTTACAAACAATCACGCTTAAACTACATAATCTTTACTTAGAATAACCTCCTTAGGACAATAGAGTAACCTTGGAATGGAGATAAGAAACCTTTGGAATAGAATGGATAGGATTAAGATCAAATAGTATAAATATAGATGTAAAAGGACAATAAAGGGAGGAACCTGGCTAAGAAGAACCTCGTCATGATGATCACCTGAACTCGGCCTCCGTGTCTTTCCTTCCTCGCCGACTCCGTCCACACCTTGGGGAACCCCTGGACCTGTTGGGGCTGGACCCCAACACTTATACTAGTAGGTAAATAAGAACTTGCATAAAAATCACTGATGCAGGTGTCATTGACATTTTGGGTAGCTATGAGAAAACTGGCATCTTTTTCCTGGCTACTCAAATAACACCAAAAGGAAAGTAGAGAAGGAGGTACCTGAAAGAGCTGATATCTCCAAGTTCATTATTTAAAAAATGGGTGGGGTTATGCCAACAAGGAGGAGGAAGCTTCTAGACCTCTGATAGCCTCTTTTGCTAACAATCAGATAATCCAAAGGAAGATCAAAGGTTTCTGCTGCTAACGAAAGAGAACTAAAGGAGAGAGAAAAAGAAAAAAAAAAGAAAAGAAAGGAGAGAACTTAAAGGAAAAGAGATAACACTTTAGAAAATAAAAGAGGAACAAATATCTTTTCCCTTTTTACTTGCATCACTGGAAGGAGAAAAAATTAGGGAAATTCAGTGCTGGGGTAAACATGACCCCAATAGATGGTGGAGCCCAGAGAGAAGTTTGTTATGGCTGTCATGACCCATGGCCCATCTATACTCACTAGCCCCCATTCTGGCCATGCTGTGAACCCTAAAATATTTCCAATGCTTCTTCTAAAGCACATGTGGTGCAGAGAGACTAGCAGGGACCAATGAACTAAGGAGGGAGTTCAGGGAGCAAAAGAGGTACATTCCTCCCAACTTGCCTCTTTACTGTCTGGATAAGACAATATTCCATGGCACCTGACTCTGAAAAGGACCTGCCTTCTGTCTTTTGGACATTAAAGGGCTAGTCCTGGGCCTCTCCCACAGTCCAGTATGGTCAGTTCTCATTGGCTGGTGAAGAAAATGGTCCCAAAGGAAGGTATTGATGTGTGAGACTCCTGGAGAGGAAGCTGGGGAGCCAAACACATGCTCATGAGTGGAGTTAGCTAGAAGGGTAGGGTAAGCTCCCAGAATGGTTTGAGGCATATCCCACAGAAGTGAGGAAAGGAGAAGGAATAAAACAGGACCAAGACATTAGAGGAGAGAGAAATAGATAGACACATACATTAGAAGTAGCCTGAAGATTTCTTTCTCCTGCCCTAGCTGGTTTGGCTCAGTGGATAGTGTGTCAGCCTTCAGACTGAAGAATCCTGAGTTTGATTCCAGTCAAGGGCACATGCCTGGGTTTCAGACTCGATCCCCAGTAGGGGGCATGCAGAAGGCAGCCGATCAATGACTCTCTTGTCATTGATGTTTCTATCTCTCTCTCCCTCTCCCTTCCTCTCTGAAATCAATAAAAAAATAAAAATAAAAATAAAAAATAAGATTTCTTTCTTCTGTCATTTAGCAGTGAAACTTCTTACGTACAATTTTTGGTGGCATTTTTTAAACCACAGCTGTTCTCCCTCCACATATTCTCTCTGGGTGGCCTCACCCACTGTCACGATTTTAATTCCTAAGTATAGGTCCTGACTGTGAACATCTCTGTCTCTAGTTCTCACCTGAACTTCAGACTTGCATATCTCTTATGTTCTATACATATGTCCTTGGATGTCCCTTCAAACTCAGTGAGTCTCAGTGAAAACTCACTGCTCTTCCCTCTTGGTTCCCAAACAGTCTCCTCAAGGAAAATGACCTTCTCTGGGCAAATTCCTGCTATTTTCTGTCTCTTGCCTACCTCTCTGAGGAGAGCAGTAATTCTCCTGCCATCAGTTAATCAAGTTTCTTTCAGCCCCCTCTAGCCTTGACCTTGACTATTTCTACCTGTTGTGGGGACAGAAGGGTGGCAAGTGAAGGGAAAGCACCACTAATAATCACTTAGAGATAGTCTTAAAGCAAATAAATTGTAGTTCAAAGGCTTCATCTAATCCATTCATTTATTCATTCAGTTAGTTAGTCGTTTAATAAATATCATTAAATGTCTATTGTATACCAACCTTCTTCTGGTGCTCTGAGAAATGTAAAAGGCATACTCTTCAATTTCAAAAATTATGAAATGTCGATGGGAAATGACAGCTTTACATACAAAGGACTATACCAAACTGCAGAAAAGACAAATGCTCTGAGAGTGATATAAATGCTAAGGGAGTTCAGATGAGGAGAATTAGAGAGAGGTCCATGTGCAATAAGCTACACATCAGCATACTCGTGAAAGAATGATGATGGGGTGTTATGGACTGAACTGTGTTCCTCCCAGATCCACATGTTGAAGTCTTAATCCCTAGCAGCTGAGAACAGGACTGTATTTGGAGATCAGGTCTTCAAAGAAGTGATTATGTTAAAATTAGGTAATTGGGCTGGGCCCTCACCTGATATGACTGGTGTCTTTTAAGAAGAGGAAATTTGGAGAGAGAGACGTCTGACATATACATGCAGTGGGATGGTCATGTGATGGCACAGGGAGAAGATGGCCACCTGTAAGTCAAGGACAGAGCTCTCACAAGAAAACAAACCTGTTTGACATTTTTTTTTAAATCCTCACTGGAGGATATATTTATGTTGATTTTGAGAGAGATAGGAAGGGAGAGAGAAACACTGATGTGAGAAACATCGATCAGTTGCCTCCCATACACATGCTGAGTATTGAATCCACAAACTAGGTATGTGACCTGACTGGGAATGAAACCCACGTTCTTTGGTGTATGGGGCGACTCTCCAACCAACTGAACCACCCAGCCAGGGCTGCTGACATCTTTATCTTGGACTTCTAGCCTCCAGAACTCTGAGAAAATAAATCTCTGTTGTTTCAGCCACCCAGTCTGTGGTATTTTGCTATGGTAGCCATAGCAAACTAATACAGGGTGTAACTGATATAATCCTGAAACAATATTTGCCTGAGAACCATGCTAAATTCCTTTAAAAACTTTCATCCTACTGATGCCCACTTTGGTAAAATTGTGAACAAGTGAAGTTTCCTTTAGTTTCTCCATCCCTTGTCTTTTAAAATCCCCTCTTCCTGCTCCCCAGGTAGACTTTCTGCTGGTAGAAGTTCTCCCCCAGCTGAGAAGAATTTGTCGAAAGTGAGGGGTACTTAATGCTCCTGACATCATCAGTGTTTGTGCAAAGGGAGCTATTCCCCCTGAAAAACTGACTCATCTTCTCTTCATTACCTCAAGTCATCAGCATTCTTTGCAGGAAGTAAGGACTTCCTTGTTGAAAGGGGACTGTTTTGCCTAAGGTATTATATATGCAAGAAAAAATAAAAAATAAAGCAAAAAAACTTATTCCAAAACAATTCCTTCCGAACTTGATAGATTGCCTGGTAAATAAATGATGAGGGGCATTGAAGAAAGCTTGGCTTCTTGCAATGCATCCTTAGGTGCAAGAATCAGGCAGAGAGGCTATATAATTGCTAAGAGCAGAGTACCAACCCTGCCCCCAGTCACATAAACTCTACTCACGGTTAAGCAATCAGATATCCACGTCTGAGCCTTCTTGTTGATCACCAATCCCTGTGGAATTGGATTGGGTGAACTTGGAATGTTTTAATGATACCTGGCATAAAAGGAAAATGGAAACATAATTAAGAGAATGAACTTTTGTTAATATAGACAATATATTATAAAATATCACTTTTACTCATGTACTAGTGTTAGAACTTAAAGGGGAAATGAGGCATAGCTATAAATATATATTGTGCATTTTAAAGAAAATAAATAGAATTATTACAGAATCAATCCCTAAATTATTCTAAATAATAGGGCAGAGAAGGTGGTATAGTTAATACAAAACAGAGAGTACTACACATGCCAATAGTCCAAGGTAAATGCCTTAGAACAAGGTCAAGGACACCCCCTCTCTAAGCTCAACCTTCAAGCCTTCTAAGCTTCAGACTTCAAAGACCCTTTTTGCTTTGCCCAAGGTCTTATGCTGTTGATGGTTAGGGACTCGACCAGTTGGTAGAAGAGGAGGTACTGGAGGGTTAAACATAACTATAGAAATATGCTAGTAGATAATCTAGAGTTAACTCTCTTGCAATTTGAAACACAGCAATAAATATTTAACATTAGACCAAAGAAATAATAACTGTGACAGTAAGTCACCATCACATTGCTAAACCTGCCCCAACATGATACTACAAGGGATGCAAATGAGTATGGGTGTGGGAACGGCAGCTTTGGCCTTTTAATGCTTGCCTTTCATTCAGTAGAATAATGTGAGTCTCAACTGGATCTTAAGAACATACCTTGCTTTCCCCCACCCCTACCCCCACCTCTGTCATTTTGCACGGGAAGAAAATCGAAGTTCACAGAGATCAAGGGATTGGCTCGAAATAGTACTGCTAGAGATTGGTCCTGGAGTCCTAGGCTCTCATTTCAGGTTTCACAGGTAAACAAACAAACAACAAATCAAACAAAAACCTGCCTAGTGTGTTACCTATGGTTTGTATGTATCTGAGGAAGGCTGGTTTGCAAACTAGGAATCGGGGCTCCTAAATTAGTCAGCAAATCCAGGTGCCACCCTTTCCTGACTCCGAGGAGTCACTCGGGCTACCTTTAACTCCCTTCTCTGAATACCTACCATCTCTTCCTACTCATCCCAAATGCCTGCGCCAATTACTGTATTGCCGATGCAGCTAATGTACCTTGCTTAGCATACAGGGATATGGGCCCTGCCTTAACAGAGCCAGAAATCTAGTTAGAGTGATAAAACATATAATTATACTTCTAAGTTACAAAGCCAGAAAGTGGTAAGAACTCCAAATCCCATTTAAATTCCTTTCCTTCTACCGTGGGCCAAATTTTGGAGGCCTTTTCTATAAATCTGAGAAGGGGACAAGAAAACCCGTGAGCCATCCCCAACTGGAAAGCTTGCCTAAACCTGGTTCATAATCTGGTTCCTTTCAGCTCTGAGCCCCCTGCCAGCGCCCAGTAGGGCATTACAAAATGAGTATTGAGTGAATGAATAAACAGAAACCACGAACGAGTTTCAGGGAAGATTGTGAATTCCCCGAAACTGTAGGCCAAATTTTGTGTGTTTAAGCTTTCATTAGCTTTTGCTGATTTCCCAAAGCAGTCTCAGCTCCTTCCCTGCCCCCTCCCCCAACTAAGAACCACTTGCTCAGTGATTTGAAGAGTAGTAGAGGGTGGAATTTAGATGAGACAAATTACAAAGTGTGTTCCTATGAGTAAATGTATAAACAAATATGGATTTAGTGCCCTTTATGTGCCAAGAACGGGGCGTACAACAAGGAGCAATTAGCCATTGTATTTGGCCTGGTGGCACTTATGCTGGGCTATCACCCTAAATGGGGATTCTCAGACTGGCTGCATATCAGCATCTTCCGGGGATATTTCTTTAAAAAAAATCATACACACACCAAAATATATGGGACACACCTCAGAGGTGCCCAGGAATTTGCACCTTAAAAAATTCCCTACATTGGAATGCTGGTGCAGATGATAGCACCCACCCCACGAGGCCTCCCATCCTTGACCCTCAGACTGCAGTGAAGGCTAGGAGATCAGAAGAAAGCAAGGAGTGACTTGTCTGGATTGTAAAGGAACACACAGAAAGACACTGAAATGTGTAAAGAAAAAATTCACAGTACCTTTGAGGGGAACTCAAGAGGTTAAAAATTTTTAGCTTTGGTTATACAGTTAATAGGCTTGGTGATTAATGCACTAGAAAGCCATTGTTCCAGCAACCTTTGTGCCCCAGGAGGACTGCAAGCAACCAAGATGGTATCTAAGTCAGTGTGCTCCAGGGGGAGAACGTCCAGTCAGTAGCCCAGGACACAGATAAGGAATCACCGGTCAGCAGATGAAGGGATGCTAGCAAAAGCGCCAGACTGTAGCTTTTATCTGATTCACCCTTTTCCCTGAATTCCAACCCCCTTACCTACTTTTCTTCTGAATTCCAAACCCTTTACCTACAGTTTTCTTCTCACTATAGAAAAGGTTGGCTTGAAATGAGATATAAGACGGTCTTTAGGACACATATTCCTCCATCTTCTCAGATCTCCAGCCATCTGAATAAAGCGCCCATAAAGATCACTTCTAGGAATATATCCCAAGAAACTAGAAACACCCATCAGAAAGGATATAAGCACCCCTATGTTCATAGCAGCACAATTTACCATAGCTAAGATTTGGAAACAGCCTAAGTGCCCATCAGCACATGAGTGGATTAAAAAACTGTGGTACATCTACACGATGGAATAATATGCTTCGGTAAAAAAAGAAGGAATTCTTACCATTTGCAACAGCATGGATGGAACTGGAGAGCATTATGCTAAGCAAAATAAGCCAGTCAGAGAAAGATAAATATCACATGATCTCACTCATTTGTGGAATATAATGAACAACATAAACGGATGAACAAAAACAGATCCAGAGACAGAGAAGCATCGATCAGACCGTCAAACCTCAGAGGGAAGGTAGGGGAGGGTGGGGGTAAGGGGGAGAGATCAACCAAAGGACTTGTATGCATGCATATAAGCCTAACCAATGGATACAGACCCCAGGGGCGGTGGGGGGGGGGGGGAATGGGGGAGATAAGGACACATACGTAATACCTTAATCAATAAAGGAAAAAACAAAACAAACAAAAAGATTCAACCCTTTTCTCTACTTATTGGTTCTGGTAGTAACAGGTAGCACAAATGCTGACTTTTCCGGTGTCACCTTCCCCAAACACTGAGAGGGTCAGTATTTATTTGCCTAATTTCCCTTTCCCTGCTTTCTATTTCCTCAAAATTTTTATTTTAAAATTTGGGGATGAATACAGAAAAAATAGAGGAAGATAATGGTATCAGTAGAAAAACATATTTTTGGTCTATAGAGTCTGTGTATATGCTTAGGAACTATCTTGTTAGTGAGACAAAGCTTGAAAGGCTTTTAAGAGAAATCATAAAGTGAATGGCAAAGTGACTAAGAGTGGAGTTGGTCTTCAGATATACTTTCCTTTCTATTTTCAGATTTAGGATCAAAGGGCCAGGAAGTTGATAAAACTCTCACCCCTTGCTTTAAGATCTTTCTCTACCACCAGTTAGCTTACAACTTCAAATAGATGCCTGGGTGAACCATTACTCACTGATCCCTTCATCCACAGGGTTTAATTCACTGGCCAACACACAGATTGTGCTGACCTGGCTCAGAGGTAGTCACTAAAATTCTCTGCAGGCAAGACCTGGTTGAGACTGGACATGGTAAGGAAGGAAAGACCTCGATGAAGGAAGAGAGGAAGAGAGAGAGAGAGAGCGAGCTGGGCTGAATTAGGCAAATGAGTGGGTCTTCCTTCCCAGCCAGCGACAAACAGCCAGGGGCTAGTCACTGCTCCTTTGCTTGAGCCAGCAGTATGTGGGGAAATTTGGGTTTTGTATGAACATTCATTCACTGCGGGAGAATCGAGGTGTAATAAAGGAAAGGAGGCCTCTCTCTCCTCCCAGTGAGATTCCTAGTCCTCCAAGAGCTGTGATTTTTCTGAAAACCCTCAGGATGCCTCCAGCCAAAGCCACTCAGTAGCCCGAGAAACAGAAAGTAGCACCTTCCTGGATGACACAAATGGAAAACGTTGCCACTACCTACGTAGTTGTAAAACGTGTTTAAAATTCTACTTTAAAATTCTGATCACAAGTGTTCACAGAAAGATAGCATTTTCCAAATGGATACCAAGGGGTTGGGTGAAGGAGGCCATCATGAAGGATCATCCTAGCTAATAAAAGAGAAACATGGTAATTAGCCGTACCTATTGCTAATCAGGGCGATATGCAAATTAACTGCCAGCCAAGACGGCTGCCGGCAGCCAGGCAGCTTGAAGCGAACATGAGGCTTGCTTGCTTCAGTGACGGAGGAAGCCAACGTTCCCCATTCCCCGCCTGCCGCTGCCGGCCTCTGAGCTGCAACTCTAAGAAACATTGTAACAAATATAGAAGCTAAACCAAACCCCAGAAACCTGCTTTAGTCAGCCAGGCTTCAGCCAGCAGGACCGCAACATTGCTTCAAATACAGAAGGTAAACAAAGGCCAGAAACCTGCTTTCAGCAGCTGAGGCCTTAGAGCTAAAGATGGCCCAGAATAAAAAAAAAAGAAAAAAAGGAGCAGTTGGGAGCTTCAGTCACCCGCCAGCCCAAACCCCCTGATCGCCCTGCGGCTCTGTGTGTGACAGGGTGCGGCGCCCCAACTCCCCCCCCCCCCCCCACGGGCCCTGCTCTGTGTGTGACGGGGTAGAGAGCATAAACCTCCCCATCGGCCCTGCCCTGAGTGTGGACAGTGGCGGTGCCCCAAGCCCCTGATACGGCCCTGCTCTGTGGGTGATAGAGGGCAGTGATAAAAGGGCTACTCGACCTCCTCTCTCAGTCTGTCTGGGG